CATAGTGGGGAAGATTTACCAGGCGCTGGAGGGGCCCCTTCTCCAGGCTTGAGAAGGCCCCAAGGAAACCTTCAGGCTTAGAGACCTGAAATACCGAGAGTAAGTGCCCATGGCTGGTGCAGGTGCCCAGATGCTCTGGGTGAGTCCCTGCACAGAGAGGGCAGCGGCTGGGGGCAGCACTTTGAGGTGGGCGGGGGGTGGGGATGATGGACTGCCTGCCACCCAAGACCTGCCAAGAGAGCGTTTTCAGAAATTTCTGGGATTTCTATGGCCATGACGTGGCAATGAAACTTTCAAGACATGAACCATCTCAGGTGCCCTGGACACATCTGTTAACTGCCCTGAGGGGAGGAAGACACACAGAAATCATGTTCAGAGGGCATTAGAGGGGCCTAGGGATGCTTAAATCATGGTATAAGGGAGTAATCTCCTGCAGATTTTTCACCCTAACAGGCAAGCTCCTTGTCTATTCAAGCCATGAGCATCTGCTGAGAGCCTGTGACATACACAGTGCAGCCATTTGTCTCAGCCGGCGGGGAACATAGCGTGCAAGGACAGGAAGATGGGGGAAAGAGAAGGAAGAGACCACCCTGCCCCTCAGTGCCCACTCTGTGCCTGAACCCCATCTTGCTGAGAGGCCCCCAGTCCCAGCTGAAGGGTCTCTGCCTCTCTCCCGGGAGGCCCCGATGTGGCAGCCAAACCCGCACTGCCCCCACACGGCAACTCCTGGCCCATCTCACCCCTGGGGAGGGCGAGCAGGGCACAGCAAGTAGCTTCAGCCCCTGGTGCTGGGGTTCTCCCCTGCTTTTCCCAGGGGGAAGAGCTGCCCCTCTCCCAGCCCACCCCACCTCTGTCCACCCTGCCTTGGAGAGGGAGGGGGGCGTCCACCTCAGGGAGGAGAACACCAGGAGCAAAGAGGGGTGTCCAGCAAGTAGGCCACCACACCCTTCTGGATTCCCACCTAAATGTGGATGTGGTGTTCCCTGAGTGCAGGGCTCCTGCTGACGCTGCACGGCTGGCAGGTCCTCATCAGAAGGGAATGGGGGTGGCTTCTTCCCTAGGCACCTAGACCCTGGGCAGCCCAGGACGGGGTTTTGGTCGGGGCCTGCAGGACCACCATAGGGTGGTGTGCATGCCCCCCTGGCTTAACCTGGCCCCAGGAGGTTATACCTCATCAGCTGCTTGGGTGGGTAACGGTAGGGGATTGACAGGCAGAAGCAAGAAACAGCCCTAACAGGTGTGGGGGTAACGAGCAGGTGAAAACACACACGGGCAGCGAGGTCTGTGCACACGACATGGGTTATGGGACAGGTGGGGCAAGGGTGCGACTCCGACCTGCCCACAGCGTCTTAACCATTAGCGTCTCACTACACCTGACCCAGAACCAAGGGCCGGGTTCTCAAACACCACACGTCTTCCAACCAGACCACGCTTGAGCTGGTGAGGGCAAATTCCAAACCAGAAATCAACAGGAAGCGCCTGCTCCTGCTTCTCTAGACATTTTCTGACGGCACTGGCTCATCTTTCTTTTCTGCCCCCAATTAGAAGAACTAAATTCGTTTTTTTTTCATTGTCTATTTTTGAAGCAGAGTAATTACTCCGTGCTAATTAGCTTCAGGAAGAAAATGAAGGAAGTAATCCTGCATAGTGATAAAAGTATTATTTTAAAATGAAAGCCTAATTAATCAAGCAATTCTTTAAACTTGTGATGGAAAAATATTTAGTTAGAAAAGAGAATTTTTCACCTACAGTGCATACGTATATAGTCTCCTAGATACAATAAACGCATAGATCCTTTAAGGAAGTCACATTGGCACGTTCATGTCAAGAGAGAATTAGCCAGGAGTACTCTACATGCTAGAAATGTTATTTTCCAGTCTCAACATACACTTTATAATCTCAGATGGATTCTTCAGAGGAAAGGCAGGTAATTAGAAGTGTTTTCTGAAAGTTTCACAAGCATTCAGAGAAGTGAACACCAGGGGACATTGTCAGGGACCATGTGGTCTGTGTCTTGTAGCTGAACATAATTTTTAGTCTTTATCAGGAAAAAACAGGGACCTTGGATAGGGTTAGATATTTGGATATGAGCTGGGCCACCAGGAGTCAAACTAAATAATTGATGAAGCTTTAACTCAAACAATAAGAACCAACCACAGTGCAAAGACATATCCATCCATCTTCCCCGCCCCCCAGGACAGCCAGCCCACGGTGGCGCCAGGAGGGGTGATCATCTGCAGCTCAGCCCCTGCTCTGCTGCTTCCTGACCATTGACCTTATCACCTCACCTCCCCAAGACTAAATTTTCTGTTAAATGGGAAGAATAATCCCTACTTATGTCACAGAGCACTTCTGAGCATCAACTTGGGGACAGATGCACTTTGAAACCTCGATGAGTCTGTGAGACTGAAGGGAGTGGGCGAGCTCTGCGAAGCTGCACAGAGGGCTCTGAAACCCCCGGCATCTGAAGTTTATACTGATAGACCTACAGACTCCCTAGGTGCCCACTTAGCTAATTTCTCAGGAAAATCACCCTTGTCCTCCACTTGAAGACCACTGAACCCAATATCTAGGTAGAGAAACAAAAAGAAAAGCCTTAATGTGGTGTAGCTACTAACACTGATGCAGATCCAGAATAGAAGTTGTGGTGACAGAATTCCGTCGTATTTAGGCTCACACTAACCTAAAGGGCACAAGATGGTATATGTCCTCCTCCTGAAAGTCAGGTGGCCTTAAAGGGCACAGCCACAAATTCCACCTCAGGTCACAATCTGCATGTTTAGAGAAGGAAGTAGCTTTTGGGTTTAAACTTATCACCAATGACTGATTATTGGTGAATTGCTAAAAGCCTTCTTTCGTCACACCATTGTGCAAAGCTCCCACATAGTCTTCTGTGCAAAATATCCCAATATTAAAAGTGCATCAAATCTGATAGACTTTTGCAATAGAAACATTAAAAAAATAAAAGAAACCTCTCTATATAAAATTAATTGTGCTTTCTTTTTAGAAACCATGGATGGTTTGCATTCGTAAATCTTTTTAATATATCTTTGAGAGCTACGAAGCAGTTGAAAATTGTTTAACATTTTTCCTATCAATTTTTGCTTCCCATCCTTGGCCTTTCACGTATAGCAAATTACAAGGTTCAAGAAACTTAGCTTTAAAAATTCCAAGTTATGGGTTTCATACTTGCCTCCAGCTAACCAGAGAGCAATCCGTTGTTTTTCGGGAAATCTCTGTTCTTGTCATTAACTGTTACTTCTGGCGCACTCGTTCCAGTTCAGCAGGCTATGAAATTTGTTGGGCGTGTAGACAATCGGGTCTCTCAACAGGGTGGTTTTGAGAGTAGAGCATTAACAGAGAAATGACAAACCCGAATTGACAGTGTGTCGCATCGCACAGAAGGTCTGGGATGTATGGCTGTGAGCTACCTCTCCACTGTGTCTCTGAAATAGCACCCATTTAGCTGTCAGTCTTTCGCTGTTTTCTATATTCCAAACCTAATGTCTTAGTGTCAGTGCATCATGGTACATGGAGGGGTCATTGTCCACAGGCGTCAGCTTTTTGGTCCCCATCATGGTATTCTTATACAGAATGAAATTATTCAAGTATGATGATCTATATGACATACTATATTTAACATTTCATTGCTCATTCGCTGAATGCATCAATAGAAGTGATAGGTATATTCACTTATTTTCTCTCTTCTGCTGTGGAAATTTGTTTCCATTCTTCTAATTACTCCAGAAAAAGGGGTGGAAGGTCTGCTGCCCTGGCCCCAGACCCCTAGCAGGTTGAGGCCTGGCCCCTTCCAAACCGAGAGTGCTCCCAGCAGAAGTCAGAGGGTCTTCGTAGCACAAGCTACCTATGGACCTCACACCCTCTGGCCTAGAGGGGACACTTAAAACAACATTCCTATTTTGTGCTTGTCTCAGGAGACCTTGTATTCACCCACTGCCTCACTTCTGAGGCTGTTGCACAACAGAAAGTCAAACTGCACGCAGAGGTCCTTCTGAATCAGGCATCTGGGAGAGATGAGATGTGCCACATCCCTGTGGCTACCCACTTAGGGGGCTGCAAGCCTGCTCAAACAGTGGGCCCTGAATCTGGCCTTGCTCGGGCACAGAACTCCAAGGAGGAGGAGGATGCCCAGCAGGCTGGCTGGTGACCAAAGACCACGATGGCTCTCCCTTCCAGGGTCTGAAAGGAGATGGCGGCCACGGATGCAGGAGAGACTCATGGTGGGGGAGGGAAAGAAAGCAGGACACCCATTCCAGAGAGTCCGGAACAGCTCTGGGGCAGAGGCTCAGCTTTAATCGTCTTCTCGGCACATTGGCAAGTTGACGAAGGTGAAGACGTTAAACTCTATCATAATCGAGAAGCACAAGAAGACGGCGTAGAGAACCAGCACATAGACTCCCAGCTTCCGGTCAAGTCTCCATTTGTTCAGGTGGATGCCAAGGACCTGGGAGGACAGAGCGCAACGACTGGGCTTGGGGACAGAGGGACACAAAAGGCATTTTACCTGGGGAACAAACTGTGAATCCCAGAACTTTCTCCAAAATGGGGACGAGAGCAGAGGGGTGCTGCCAGGCATGTCAGAGGCCTTGCCAGATGGAAGGCGGGCCCCTGGCCCAGCCCTGCTGACCGGCCACACCGCAGCTGCCCTCCTGGGACTGACCCTCCCTGGGCATGCGTGTGCCCTGCCAGCCCAGTCCAGGCTACAAGGTCCTCCCTTCTCTAGCAACGGCCCAGGTCCTCCATGGGGTCCCCCACTGCTGCAGAATTTGCTATCCTCGGACCCTCTCAGAAAAACTCCCAGGGCTATTGGCCCACAGCCTGGCACTCATTGACTTGGAACCCCTTTTCTATTGTGTGTGTGTGTGTTGGGGAGACGGCTGGAGCACATCCTCATTCGACATTCTTCCTAGACTCTCCTGTACTTCCCTTCACTGCCTTTCCTTCCTGTCCCTGAAGGGAACACTTAGGGGGCTGCAAGCCTGCTCAAACAGTGGGCCCTGAATCTGGCCTTGCTCGGGCACAGAACTCCAAGGAGGAGGAGGATGCCCAGCAGGCTGGCTGGTGACCAAAGACCACGATGGCTCTCCCTTCCAGGGTCTGAAAGGAGATGGCGGCCACGGATGCAGGAGAGACTCATGGTGGGGGAGGGAAAGAAAGCAGGACACCCATTCCAGAGAGTCCGGAACAGCTCTGGGGCAGAGGCTCAGCTTTAATCGTCTTCTCGGCACATTGGCAAGTTGACGAAGGTGAAGACGTTAAACTCTATCATAATCGAGAAGCACAAGAAGACGGCGTAGAGAACCAGCACATAGACTCCCAGCTTCCGGTCAAGTCTCCATTTGTTCAGGTGGATGCCAAGGACCTGGGAGGACAGAGCGCAACGACTGGGCTTGGGGACAGAGGGACACAAAAGGCATTTTACCTGGGGAACAAACTGTGAATCCCAGAACTTTCTCCAAAATGGGGACGAGAGCAGAGGGGTGCTGCCAGGCATGTCAGAGGCCTTGCCAGATGGAAGGCGGGCCCCTGGCCCAGCCCTGCTGACCGGCCACACCGCAGCTGCCCTCCTGGGACTGACCCTCCCTGGGCATGCGTGTGCCCTGCCAGCCCAGTCCAGGCTACAAGGTCCTCCCTTCTCTAGCAACGGCCCAGGTCCTCCATGGGGTCCCCCACTGCTGCAGAATTTGCTATCCTCGGACCCTCTCAGAAAAACCCCCAGGGCTATTGGCCCACAGCCTGGCACTCATTGACTTGGAACCCCTTTTCTATTGTGTGTGTGTGTGTTGGGGAGACGGCTGGAGCACATCCTCATTCGACATTCTTCCTAGACTCTCCTGTACTTCCCTTCACTGCCTTTCCTTCCTGTCCCTGAAGGGAAGCCCCCAAAGGACTGGACCGTGGCCACCTCACCAGAGCAACACCACAGCTCTAAGAGACAGACCGATCTGCATTCAAATAATCCCAGCTTGGACTTTCCTATCCCTGTGGCCCCTGGCCCATTACTTAACCCTGAGCCTTGATTTCATCTTCAAAATGGAATGGTATCAACAGGTAGCTGTAAGGACTGAATAAAAGAGACAGAGGTCCAGTGTTCAACATGGTCCTGGACAGCCAGAGTTGGGAGGCCTCGGTGTTACTAGCCCCAGTCCTAAGGCCTGACCACCGTGTCCCCGCCGGCCAGCTCAGGTGGACAGCAGGAGGGCTTCTCTCCCACTGGCTCCAGTGAGAGGAGATGGACAGGGCAGCAGGAAGCCAGGAAATGGAATTCACTTCCTTTGACTTCATCACCACTCAGGAAGAAGAGTAGTTGTGGTGGTGGTGGGGGAACATTCTTGGCACAGATTGTGTCTGGGGGTACCTGCAAATGTATACATTTCTTTAGCTTTATTCCTCACTTCCCAGGGGTGATATGTCAGTGACTGCACAGAATCAGATGAAATAGGTGTGAGGTTACTATTTCAGAATTGTAAAAACTCACGGTGAGAGCGACCGAGCCCAGCAACAGCACCACGGAATACACCAGACCTCGGCTGTTGATCTTCACCTGGAAAAACAGACACGTGGGCCCTGCACCTCTGGGCTGCTCAGGGCGCCCTCTCCGTGGGAGCCCAGTGGGCTGCAGGTGGGTGCTACGGGGAGGGTCAGCTAACTGTGGATTCAGGTCTTGACCCTGCCGGTGTGAGGACACGGAAGAAATGGCTAGGCAGGGAGAGGGCATGCCGTGGGCTGGCAGTAGAGGCATGGATGAGTGCTCAGCAAATGCTGGCGCCCTCCTGCAGGCGCCCCTCAGGCTGCTCTGGACGCCTTCCCGGAAAGTTGATGCCAGGCGGCCCAGGAGAAGGGGGCAGTGCTTCCCCCCAAGTCCCTGGCTGGACAGGGCCAATGCCACTGCCATCCCCTGTAAAGCACATATGCCGGATTCCATTCCACTCACCAAGGAAGCAAGAGGAACTTACCGTGGACCCGTAACTAATAACCATGGTCTGCAGGCCCCAAGGTATGCCGAGGCCCACCAGGATGTCAAACACATTGCTTCCTATGGTGTTAGAGACTGCCATGTCACCAAGGCCTGGAGGGAACAAGGGACACAGGTCATTCATTAAGAGGTCACTGGAAGCCTGTTCTTCCCCAGAACTGTTCTATTAGTACAGTTCCTTAGGAAGGAATCCCTTCTTACCCCTTCTTCATGGACTCCGCACGTCTAAAACCTTTCTAGGAGGTCTAAATCCACTCCCTTCATGAAGTCTACAGGGGCCGGCTGGGGTGAACTGTGACCCCCCGGGATTCACACGCTGGAGTCCTAACCTCTAGCACATCAGAGTGTGACCTTATTTGGAGACAGTGTCTTGACAAGGATAACCGAGTAGAATGAAGTCACAAGGGCGGGTCCTTATCTAATATGACTGATGTCCTTATTAAAAGGGGACACCTGGACAGACAGCACAGAGGGGCCGTCCACAAGCCAAGGAGAGAGGCCTGGGGCAGATCCTCCCGCATGGCCCCCAGGAAGGACTAACTCTGCTGACACCTTGGTCAAGTCCCCAGAGCAAAGGGACAGAACATTTCTGATACTGTGCCTCCCTGGGTGTGGCGCTTTGGTACGGCAGCCCTGGGACGCTGACGCAGGACCCTCTGCTATTTCCCCTCCAGGGGCATCAGCCGATGTTCCCTGAGGGCCCTCTATGTGCTTCCATCCTTCGGTCCTCCGAGTTACCCAGGAGGGAGGTGGCACCATCCTCATGTGGCAGATGATGAAACAGGCTTGAGAAGGGCCCAACATCACTCATGCTGTGAGCGGTTGGCCCAGCGTCCTTCACACTGAGCCATGATGTGTCCTTGTGGCCCAGGCGGTGGCTCGGAGGATAGGGCTTTGGTGGTCTTATGCCCTGGCGGCTTCCAAAGGCTGAACTCTTTCCCCCCAACCAGACCAGAAGCAGCTTAGAGGCTAGGGGCCATGCCATCATCCTCCGCTTCTCGCCCAACCGGGCAGAATCATGCTAACCACACAATCTGAGGACCTTAATAACTTGAGGGGTATTAAAAGTTAGAAAATAAATTTTACAAAGAACACTCATTGCTGGCTGACATCTGTTCTGGCCTGGCCACCTGGCCCTATTCAACGTGACTGTCCGAACCTGGTACCCATACAAATGTGCGTGGAATGAATAAGCTTGCAACACAAATGTTGATAACCATAAAATTGCTTTGGTCACTGAGAAGCTCGCAGCACCTCAGAGCAGCATGTGGACGGTTCACTCATTGCCGTCTGACCGCCTGCCCAGCTGATGTAAGCCAGCTCACCCCTCCTCCCGCCCTGCTGCTCTCATCTGCTGACCTCCAGGACACAATGCCTCGCTTTCTCTCTGTCTGCCTTGGCCCTGCTCTGAGCAACTTGGAGATCTGCGCAGCTTTGTCCTGTGAGGCGTGATACATCTGGGAAACCAGCCTTCCAGTCTGTCAGTCTTGGAAAATGTAGGAATGTGTAGCAACTGTTTGGACCAGCTTCTGCCCCAGGCCAGGAGCAGGTGCTGGCCCATGGAGTCAGGAGGTACACAGATGCTCGAGTTGGGTACGTCTTAGATTTGGCCAACTTCCTGCTCTGCACAGGCACTGCTTACGGCCACACTTCTCAAACTTGAAGACCATACAGTGCACTTGGGGGGCTTGTTAAAATGCAGATTCTGATCCAGTGAGTCTGGGGTGGGGTCTGGGAGTCTGCATGGCTCACTTGCTCCTTGGCCTAGCTAATGTTGCCAGTCTGGACCACATGTTGGACCACGAGCCTCTAGGGAGCCTGGGGGTAGTGCCTCCAAGTTAGGGCTCTCTGCACTGTCTACTTTGTGCCAGGGACTCCAGAGGTTCCTGCGCCCTTAGTCATCTAGGCTTTGACCATGTGTCTGTCAATCATTTCAGTGTCGCCTTTATGACAGCCAGACACTCACATCCGGAATCACCCTTCCTCAGTTTCTATGCTTCTACATTCCATGGCAGCCACTCTGAGATGATGTCCACCCTCAGAATCCCACCTATCCCTTGTTTCTACAGAGCCCCTTCTTTGACCTCTTTGGGAACACACTCCCGACCAAGCCCTTAACCTTCTTGCTTCATTACCCCCTGCTAGGCTGGACTCCAGGGCCATTTAAACTGCACACTCACTTACCCCTTGACCTTCCATTGCATCCACCCAGCCGACATCAGCTCTGGATGAACTTGCCATCTCTCACCTGTGTGTCGTGGGAGCTGGTACGAATGAAACCCACCCAGGTTCATGCCACTGAACTCAGTCAGGCTCTCAATGCTCATCAGTTTCTCTCACCGTACTGGGTTGACCAGTACCACCCCACCCCCACATCCTTGTCCCCCTGGAACCTGCGAATGTGGCCTTATTTGCAAATATGGTCTTTGTGGATGCTATCAAATTAAAATGCAGTCATACTGAATTAGTGTGGGCCCTAATCCAAAAACAGGTGTCCCTATAAGAAGAGGGGAACTTAGATACAGACACACACCAAGGTAACACCCTGCTGTGAAGGTGGAGGCAAGGCCGGAGTGACATGGCCACAGGCCAAGGAGACCAAGGAGCCCCAGCAGCCCCAGAAGCCAGAGGGGGCCAGGAAGGATCTCCCCTAGAGCACACAGAGGCAGTCCAGCTCTGCGGACACATTGATTTTAGACTTCTGGTCTCCACAACTGTCAGACAATCCATTTCTGTTGTTCTAAGCCACCCAGTTGTGGTATTTTTGTCATGACAGCCCTGGGAAATGAATACACTCAGAGGTCACTCAACGAAATTCTATTCCAACTGTCCCCATTTTCCACAAGGTTCCAGGCTACCGCCAAACACATGCCCACGCTTCCCTTCCCCATATCTCACGTTTTCTCAGAGCCAACTGACCAAACCATGTGCCCTTCTTCCTATCTTGCAGGAGCAAAATGCCCTTTCCCTCTTTCCAAAGCCAGCCTTCCCTTTGGCAGCTTCTCTCCTCCCCCATCTCCTCTGAGGTTTCACTCTCCTATTTGCCCACTCTGCCCCCAGGCTTTCTAACTGTCACGCACACCTGCGGAAGCCCATGCCTGGATGCTCCCTTCCCACGAGCAAAGGAGCTGGAAATAAAGGCTGGCTCTTTGCAGCTCTCTCGTTTCGTCATCCAGGAGCACATGGGTACTTCTCACCTTGCTTAATCCACGTCACTTAGTAATTAAGCCCCAAAGAAAACCACCGAACGATCCAAAACATTATACATGTTCTAAAACTTTGAAGAATAGGAAAATGGAGGCACAGGCTCTCCCCACTTTGCCTTCCTGGGACCAAAACATTTCTTTTTGCTACTTCATTTGCTCTAAGAAGTCTGAGTTTCAGCTCTGTTTGATGTTACATAGGGGATTTCAGAACATGTACATTTTTCTACAAGTACATGCAAGCAAATGCTTCTAGAGATCTAGAATAACCTATCTTGATAGAATTCTCTCCGTGGATGGAGTCTGATATGTCATGCTTTTCAGTTGTCACTGTTTCCTCCAAAGCAGGACAACTACCATCCCTAAGAACCATCAACTACAACTTCGGCAGGGCAAGGACGCCTGCGCAGAGATGCTGCAGCTGTGTGGGCCGAGGCACGACCCTTACCTTGTCTTGCCACGATTAAGCTGGCCATGCAGTCTGGAACGCTCGTGCCTGCTGCCAGGAAAGTAATGCCCATGATAACATCAGGGATCCCCAGTGTGTAGCCAATAATAGTCACCTGGAGAAGAAGGGGGGGGAAATGAACTCACAGAAGAACACCCCTGGAAACTTTGTTTACCCTGAGTGTTTTTAATTTGAACATAGTATTGCTGTTCTTTTTACTGTTTTTAAAAGTTAAGAAAATAAAGTAAAATGAAAATGAAAGTCACTTGCCATTTCTCAAGACCCACAACTACTAGTAACGCTTTCCATCAGCCAGTGATCCTCAAACTTAGGCATGCAGAAAATCCTCTGTATCTGGGATCTGGGCTGGCTGAAATGCAGACTGCCAGGCCCCATCCCCAAGTTTCTGACTCAGGAGGTCTGGGCGGAGCCAAAGAATCTGCATTCCTAATGAGTTCTTAAGGGATTGGGACCCTGAGGCTGCTGGTCTGGAAATCCCACTTGAAAACCACGGCTTTAGAATTTATCCTTGGCATATGTATTAGAAAAAAATGAAATCAGATTATACTATCAACATGTACTTTGCAACTATTTGTTTCATGTAGTAACACATTGTAAACACCTTTCCATCTTAAATATTCATTTGCAACATTATTTTAACCTGATGAATCTATTTCACCACAGGGCTATAAAGTTTTAGCCAATTCCTCACTGGTGGGTACTGAGGTGGCTTCTTTACTCTTACAATAGTATCACCATACAAGTAACATTTATTGAGCACTAATTATGTATCTCATACTCTACCAGATGTGCACTTTCACATGCTGTTGAATGGTGACTGAGGCCCTATTATTATGCCCATTTTATGCCTAGGGAAACTGAGGGTTGCCGCGGTTAAGTAGCAATGCCCTTGGACGTGAAGCTGGTGAGCAGCACAGCAGGGTTCCAGGCCTCATCTCTCCGACTCTAAAGGCCGTGCTCCAGCTTGCCAGCATGCTGTCTGTGCGTACATCTTTGTATTCTCATCTTACCTCCTCCCTAGGATAAGTTCCAAAAAACAGAACTATTGGATTGAAGGATACTCAGGCTTTTAAGGATCTCGATGCATAGTCACATACTCCTCTGATAAATGCCTGACACTTGAGACATGACTGGGGCCCTGAGCAGCAGCCAGATGGAAAGCCCTAGAAGGATTTGGACAACTACATTCAAAACACCCATTCACTCTGGCTTGCCTCTAGAAAACAGGGACAGTGGCACCTCTTAGCATTGCTCACATCTTGACAGATGCCTCCAAACCCAGTGAATGGCTGTGTGACTTAGGACGGGCTGGTTTGCTTCTCTGAGCCTCGGCTCCCTCATCTCTACAACGGGTTGGTTGGTAACTAGGATTAATGCAAAAATATAAGGTGACAGTGCCTGGCGCATGCAAGATGTTCTTGGATGTGTTTCCCCTTCTCCAATCACTCATCCTACAGTCTAAGGGGGGTGTGGAGGAAATGGGGGTGATCAGATTCACAGGGCTCAGAGTAGCCCAGAGAAAGCGTGCTTCCTAATGCCAAGCTGGGCCCTGGAATTGAGCCAGAGCATTGGACTAAAACAACATCCCTCCTGGGACAGCTTTGCAGGGGTTTTAGACAGCACTCAGCTCAGCACCACCAGGCACAGGGCAGGGTGCACACCGGCAGGCTTGCTCCGGTCTGTGCAAGAAGAGGGAAGCCGAGGAAGGGCAAGAACGAAGAGCTGGCTCACCAGTGCTTCATCCATGATGGAGATCTCCAAGCACAACCCAGCAGCAGCTGACATGTTTTTAACAGGCAATGCCAGACATCATAAACACAGTAGGCTGGGTTATTTGGCAGTAATTGGGGATGCCTCCACTTTTCTTTCTTAGATCACTGGCGCATGAAAGGCAAAAGGAAGGCTTGGAGTGTGTACACGCTCCATCCAGGGTGCTCAGAGATGCTGCCCAAGGGTTGCTTTGCCCTGGACTCCAGCACTGGGCCCACTGAGCCCTCCCAATACTTGGCCTTCAGAAAGGGAAGCGAAGTCAAGTCCAGAGCTCAGAGGTGGACTGTCTGGGGACCTTGTGGAAGTCATGGCTCCTCTCTGGCCCCCAGCTTCTCCAACTGTGCAAGGGGGCTGAACAGGATGATGCATTCTGAAGGTCCATGCCTTCTGACACATTCAAGAGTCGTTTTCCCCAAAGCCTTGAGGGTGGGAGATGCAGTGTGGGTGAGGTACAGGTGTGCAGGTGAGACTCCGCTCCTCCCTGGCGCCCCCATCAGGGTGCAATGAAAGTAAGCTCATGGCCCTCAGGCGACAGGCACACCTCGCTTCGGCAGAAATCAAGGCTGACGTGTGGCACTGTAGCCTTTACCAATTTCTACTGCCAGAGCCAGGCTCCTCCCCCAAACTGAGGCCAGCTGAAGTTGGAACTCGAGGAAAGAGCACCCAGCACAACAGTCCCTGTGACTCTGGCCAAGCCATTGCCACAACTCTGCCTTCAGAGGTGGGGTGAGGTTTGTAACTCAAAGTGGTGGGGTGACTGTCCTTATTGCTAATCAGTAGGACTGATTTCATTGTGCTGCTGTTTGCAGTGACCAGAGGAAAGAGACTCTCACACCCATTAATTTGATCTTTCCTAATCCTCATGCCAACTCAAATGTCATGAACTACTTGTTTTACCTGCAGTGTTGTTTTGGGGAATGCACTTTAGTTAGAGAAATCACTGGATCGTTGTGTCAAATGTAAAGATGGGCTGGTGGTTAGCCCTACTCAGAAGAATTTAAATTTGTAAATTCAATTCAGTTAGGCGTAGTTTTCACTGCCTTTGATTGTCACCCTTTTCTGGGTGGCTTGGATAGTAGCTATTTCCCACTCCCCCACCAACATACACACACACCCCAGCATCTAGAGGGATTGTAACCTGTATCTGAACAGAGCATGGAAGCGGCACGGTCTCTCCTGGTAAGAAGAGCCGATGTTAATGGGTATGACCAATAGGCCACGCTGCAGGCTCAGGCCTTGACGCCTGAATGGAGACTCTTCATTCTCCCAGTGGTCTTGTTAGACACCGGAGGCCATCCTCCTTCGCGGAGAGGGTGACTGTGGCACCTGGAGGCTGAGTCACTGGCTGGCGTCTCATGGCTCACAAGTAGGAGAACTAGGATTCAGGTCCATTTCCACATGATCCCACAGCTCTTCTTTCTTCTCCAAACTGCTCCTCTGGGGTTCAGGGAAAGGTGGCCTTAGTGCCTCTACAAACAAGATGCGCTCACCCTCTGCAACTGGCACCAAGCGTTAGGAGGAGTGAAATGATAACATGGATGCCACTAAGGTGTAAGTGGCTGGCAGGTGAGCTTCACAACAGCGGAAGTGTGGCTGTTCTGTGACCACTTCCCTCCTGTTCCCTCTGGGTGGGGATATGGGGAGAGGAGGGGGTGCCCCACAGAGGGGTTCCCTGAGCAAGAGGGAAGTGGTACCTGCTTGGCCCAGCCCTGCCAATGAGAGTTTTGTACAAGGAGCTGTCACGTGTGGCCAGAGGAGCTTATGAGAAGCTATACCAAGGCCTCTCTGCCTGCCAAACCTCTGTCCAAATGGCAAATGAAAATTCCAGTAACAAATTGAGAGGCAATTCAGGATAGTGGTTGAGAGCATGGGCTCAGAAGACCAATACCTGGGTTCTAACTGCAACTCTAGAACTCACTAATTGTATATTTGCTAATTGTGTAACTGGGCAGATTTCTCTCTATGCCTCAGTTTCCTGATCTGTAAAATGGGCATAATAAAAATGCCTATCCCACTGGGTTGTTATGCAGACTAAAAGAGTTCATGTAGAGTTCACATATGTGCCTGACAAGGGGAGGGCAGCGCCACTGGGCAGGGGGCATAGGAAGGGCTGCCTGGTGCTCATCCCCCACTGATTCCAGTCTCCATCACATTCCCCCAAGGACCCCAAAAAGGAAAGGGGCCTAGTTATTAGCCCTCCAGAGCTGTTTACAGAAAGTCCACACCACCCCCGCCACATTCCATTTCCCATCAACCAAGGTGGCATGTCTCAGGCTGTCCACGTGGAAGCTTGTCTCCCTCCCCTACTCCTGCCTTGAAGGCAAGCGCCACACCGTGCCCACCTGGGTTTCCCTGGTGCATGGCAGAGTACCATGTGCCCTGCCAAAACGCCTTTCTACTGAGAAGTAAGCCAAGGTCACTGAGGAAGGTGAATGCCCGGGGTAGCTCAGCAGTGCATGAGGTTACTCTTGAACCCAGTTCTCCCACCTCCAGCAGGTGCTGGGCAGGGGTCCCCTGCTCTGCTGCCACTCACCAGCCACACCATCAGGTAGGAGAAGACAGCGATCCACAGTGTGGCGGAGATGAAAGTGACCATGAAGAGCTTCTCCCAGCGGGGCTTGCTGCAGTTGGGGATGGTGATGCACAGGAGGAAGATGAGTGGCCAGGTGAACACCCACTTGGCTTTGTCCCCTCTTGCCTCTGCAGGGGGATGGGGCAGCGCCAGAAGGGAGAGGGAGAGAAACACGCACTGGGGTTACACAGCTGCCAGTCGACCTGTTGGTTTATTTTTTTCAAGCCAAGAGAACGCTACCAGTGTGACTGAGCAACTGGCCTCACAGAATCACACAAGGCCATAATGTCACCTTGGAAGTGATCTTAAGTACGTGTTTGTTGACCGAGTAACTCGAGTTAGTCCAAATCGTTCATTTGACAGAATAAAGACTGTGAGACCTGGGGGACCTGCAGTGAGGGTATGGAATGTGGATGGGCCCTGGAGTCGGCAGACCTGGGCTGAAGTTTAAATGACCTTGAGCAATCCTATCAACTACACTTCTTCCTGACAGTAACAGCTGGAGTAACAGTACAATAATCAGTGTGTGGGGTATTTGCTTTGTGTAACAGTCACAGCCACCAAGCATTTTGATATTTAGTAGTTTTTTCATCTTTTAAATGGGTACATTACCTTTTTCTTGGTTGTTGTAAGAATGATGTATTACAATGTACATTAAACACCCAGCAAACAGAGCCCAGAAACACAGTAGGTATTCTGGAAATTTCAGCTCCTTTGCTCCAAGGTCATATATTCAGTATGTGGTAGATACAGGACTACAGTGTGGGTGTCCTGGCTGGCAGGTTAGACCTCCTTGGCCCTTGCCAAGGGAATTTACAAACAATAAGCCACCAAGGGCAAGAATAGTGTCCTTAAGAAGCCAGTAAGTTCAAAATCAGCTTGTTAGTGATGTCAATGAAACAGCGGAGGACAGATGTCTGAAAATTCTCTCCTCCATAAAAGCAATGAGAACACTGGCCAGAATCAACCTTTGTCAGAATTCTGGAAATCAACCAAAGGCCTGTAGCAAACTAGAGAATGCTTACTTAAGAAAATTGGCTGGATCTCAGCAAGAACAGTGAGCTTTGTGGAGTTTTAACTTGCCCTATTTCCATTCCCTCTCACCAGTAGCCTTGAAAACCAGCACCTTGGCATCTACCAGAGGTGACAGAATAGGGTGGGAGTTCCTTCCAAGTCCATTCTCAGAGAATTGGCATTATTTGATCTCTCTGGTGGTTTTCTAGAAGACCCTAGGTTTCAAGGTTGTCTTTATTTTACCTGAATCAGAGCTCAGCCAATGCAGATAGCTACTTCCTTGGGGGCATTTGTTGAAAACAGTCAGAGGCATTGTCAGACATCACACTGCGGTAAGTGGTGGATAACATATGGAACAAACAATAAGCTAATCAAAAAGCTTAAAAGGAGTACCTGGCGAATGGGATAGGAGCTTTGCAAAGCTCCTCAGTATTCCTGGGAATCTAAAAGACCATGAGCCTGCATAGGGCTGTGCCCAGGGTTATTTGTATGCTCAGGAAAGACTTGAGAACACCCCAAGCTTTTACCTCTGCCTAGTGTTGAGGCTCTGAGCAAGCAACAAGTAAAGGATCAGGTGGGGTTGTAAACTGCCCACCTGGACGTTGAAAGCATGCCCTCAAACACACATAAAACCCATCTGCAGAGATTGGAGACTTGTTTAGATCCAGGCATCTAAGCACATCTCTGTGCAATCATTAGATGACCGTAGGCTAATCTAGTAGATTTTTCAGTGGTCACACACAACAAAGAATATAGTTTATGCAGAATTAGTTGAGATAAGTCACTAGGAGTGAATCTGATTTCTAGACTTGTCAAATTATATTATTTTAAATGCCCAGTTCTCAACAACAACAAATTTGAGACATGCAAAGAAACAAGAGAGTATGTCCCGTACCCTGGGAAAAAAGCAGTCAATGGGAACTATTTCTGAGAAATCTCAGATACTGGAGTACTAGACAAAGCCCTTAAATCATCTGTTTTAAAATATGCACAAGACTTTCTGAAATGTTTAAAAAACTGAAGGAAGGTATGAGAACCATTTGTCACCAGACAATGTTAATAAAGAAGTAAAATTATTTTTAAAAGAGCCAATAGAAAGTTTATGGCTGAGAAGTACAATAACTAAAATGAAAAATACACAAGAGGAGTTCAATAATAGATCTGAGCAGGAAGAAGAAAAACAACAACCTTGATTATAGGCCAATTGAGATGATCTTGTCTCAGGAACAGAAGAGAGAATGAAGAAAAATGAACAGTGCCTCAGAGCCCTGTAATACACCATCAGCTATGCAAACATATGCATAATGGGAGTGCCAGAAAGAGAGAAGAGAGGAAAAGGGGCACGAAGAATAACTGGAGAACTCATATTCAGAAACTTTCCAGATATGATGAAAAATATTAAATACACACATTCAAGAAAAATTGACATTCTTCTGAGGTTTACATGGAGCATTCTCCAAGGTATACCATGTTAGGTTATAAAACAAGCATTAGTAAATTTAAAAGGACTTTAATCATGCAAAGTATGTTCTGTGACCATCCCCAATGAAGAGAAATTAGAAATCAGTAACAGAGGGTATCTGGAAGATTCACAAATAATGGAAATTAACACAGTTCTAAATAACCAATGGATCAAAGAAGAAACCACAGAGAAATTAGAAACTACTTTGAGATGAATGAAAATGAAAAGACAACATGCCAAAGTTTATGGGATGAAGTAAAAGCAGTGCTTAGACATTTACAGCTATAAATGACTGTATTAACAAGGAGGAAAAATCTTAAATCAGCGACCTAATCTTTCTCCTTAAGAAATAAAAAAAGAGCAAATTAAGTCCAGAGAAAGAAGGAAGGAAATAATTAAGATTTAAGTAGAAATAAATGAAATAGAAAAATTAAAAACATATAGAATCAATGAACTAAAAGTGGGTTCCTTAAAAAAAAAAAGCAGTGAAACTGACAAACCTTCAGCTAGAATGACCAAGAAAAAAAGAGAAATAACTCAAGTTTCTAAAATCAAGAATGAAAGACCTCACAGAAATAAAATTAAGGAGTACTATGACCAGTTGTGTGCCAAGAAATTAGATTAGCTTAGGTGAAACACACAAAATCCAACAAAGACCAAACCTACCAAAACTGACTCAAAAAGAAGTAGAAAATCTGAGTAGACTTATAACAAGAGATTGATAAAGTAATAAAAAGCTTCCCTTAAAGTAAAGCCAGGACAAGATGGCTTCATGGTGATTTCTACCAAATATTTAAAGGAGAATTACCACAAATCTTTCACACACTCTTCCAAAAGAGAAGTAGGCACTTTCCAATTCACTCTGGGAAGCCAATATTACCCTGATAATAAAGCCAGACATCAGGAGAAAAGAAAACCACAGGACAATATCCCTTATGATGCAAAAATCCTTAACAAACATCTGGCAAACTGAATCCAACAACATAGAAGAAGGATCATTCATCACAACCAAGTGGGATTTATTCCAGGAATGCAGGCTTAGTTCGGCGTGTGAGATTCCATCAGTGCAATATCCCATTTAATAGAAGAAAATATGAAACTGCACATCATGTCCATTGAGGCAAAAAAAAAAAGGCATTTGCCAAAATCTAACACCTTTTCATGATAAAACACTCAACAAATTAGGAATACATGAGAATTTCCTCAAACTGATAAAGGGAATCTACAAACACTCACCGTCAACATCATACTTAATGGTGAAAGACTGAAAGCTTTGAACAAGATGGGGATGTCAGCTCTTACTGCTTCTATTCAACATCATACGGAGCTTTTAGCCAAGAACACCAGGCAAGAAAACAAATAAAAGTCATTGAGATTGGGAGGGAAGAAGTAAAACTATTTCTATTTGTAGATGGCATGGTCACATATAGAGAACATTCAAAGGAATCTACACACACACAAACAAAACCCCGTTAGAACTAATAAACAAGATCAGCCATTTGCAAGATACAAGATCGATATACAAAATTCATCTGTATTTCTATACACTCATGAAAAATCCAAAATGAAATTAAGAAAACAAATCTCACAATAGCATTAAAAAGAAAAAAAAACCTTAAGAATAAACATAACAAAAAAAGATTTGTACACTGAAAACTACCAAACACAATCAAAGGAAATTAAAGGTCTAAATAAATGGAGACATCCTGTACATGGATCAGAAGACTTAATATTAAGGTGAAAATACCCTCCTAAATTGATCTACAGATTCAGTACAATCCCTATTAAAATCCCAGCTGACTTATTTGCAGAAATTGACAAGCTGATTCTAATATTCATATGGAAATGCAAGGGACCCAGAATAGCCAAATCAATCTTGAAAAAAGAAAAAAGTTGGAGGACTTACATGCCCCAATTTCAAAATTTTCTACAAAGCATGGTAACCAAAAGTGTGTGCTACTGAATGGATCTGTAGGTCAATGGAATAGAATTTAAAACTCAGAAATGAACCCAAAGCGTGAAGGTGAATTGATATTTGTCAAGACAATTCAATAGGGAAAGAATAGTCAGGTTGGTGCTGGGACAACTGTATACCCACATGCAAAAGAATAAAATTAGACCCCTACCTTGTACCAAAATATACAAAAATTAACTCAAAAAGGAATGAAGATCTAAATATAGGAGGTCAAACTGTAAAACTTTTAGTTGAAAGCATGGGCATAACTCTTCATGACTTTGGATTAGGCAATGGTTTCTTAAATGACACTAAAAATACAAAAAAATGAAAGAATAAATTAGACTTTATCAAAAATTTAAAATTTTCTGCTTCAAAGGACACTATCAAGGAAGTGAAAGACAATCCACAGGAGAAAATATTTTCAGATCATATGAAGGTCTAGTTACTTCATGTTTATGAAGAACTCATACAGAGTTCCTTTAGCTAGTTGTGAGGAGCTCATAACTCAACAATAGGAACAATCCCAATTTTAAAAATGGGCAAAGGATTTGAACAGGCAGTTTTCCAAAGAAGATGTACAAACGACCAATAAGCATGTGAAAAGATATTTAACATCTCTAGTTATTAGGAAAATGGAAATCAAAACTACATGGTTCCCACAAGTTATGATTGTAACAACAAACACAGATAACAAGTACTGGCAAAATGTGGGGAAGCGGGAACCCTCATACATTGCCGGTGGGA